GAGTCCTCAGTCTTCTGATTAATCAAATGGGAATAATAATAACTATTCTACCAGTTTTTTATGAGGTTCAAAGAGAGAAGGATTAGGAAAGCACATTGTAAGCTCTTACAATGCTATACAAAGGTAAGGAATGGTGACAGTTTACTACCCCCAGGGACTTATATTGTTATTCTGGGAAGAACTACCTTTTCAAAGGTAATAAATAAATTTCCATGCAGAAGACCCTTGCTAACAAAAGATCCCAGGCAAGAGTTCTCCCCAGAGTGGCTTGACCTTAGCTCTCCCTAACCTTGCTGTGATTAGGGCATTTGGTGTTTCAGTGGCTTCCAGGAATCACAGGCACTCGTGGCTGGAAGGCATCAGAATGTGCCAGAAGAAAGTGGGTGCTGGATCTTCTTGTCTAAGCTCCGCCCCTTCCTTGCTGCATTGGAGCCGGTTGTGACCATCCAGGGCCTCAGGTTACCCTATTCCACAAGCCAGAACAATCATTTCACAACCACAGAAAGGATGCTGTTTCAGAAACTCAGGCCCTTGATTAAAACCATTCACCAAGGGTACTTTCCTCCTTGGAATTTATGGGGCCCATAAAAAAAAGAACTGGAGAAGACAGAGCAGTTGTTTTTTTGTTGTGCTTCATTAGTTTTGAGTTTGGGCTGGTAGAAGAGATCAGAGTACTAGGCATCCATCTAATTGAATCTCTCACAAGCATAAAGTTCCCCGTGGTATGGAGGAGGCTGTACGTCTCCAGCCAGGGAGAGGAGGTAGGGAGGGGCAGGTAGAAGCAGGGCCTAAGGGGCTGGCTTCTCTGGGCTGTGGCTGTGCAACAGAGAGGTCCTGGGGATAAACACTGGGGCATCCAGAGAGTAGAAGCAGCACACCCCTCCCACGACTGGACCCCTTCTTTGTCCAGGTTTGGGAGTAAAGGGCAGGGATACTGACTCCCTGCCCTTTCATACCCATTATCACCACTCCTGAGGACACTCATCACCTGGGGAGGGGGGACCCCATAGACAGACACGGTACAAAGGATAGAGAACAAGATGTGAAAATGTGGGTTTCCACCAATCTCTCCAGCAATCCATGTAACCACTCAGAGCCTTTGTATTCTCAACTATAAAATGGGCGTGATGATAGCTTCAATGGATAAGTTCAAGTCCCAAATATTGGGGTGGGGAGACCTCTATACAAGGTACTGTTATAGATTCGTGGAGATAAGACTTGATCCCTTCCTTCAAGTCACTTAGAGTTTGGTGAGGAAGACAGGCATGCAAACGGCTGGTTATAACGTATCAGCAGAACGTCTGCCAAGTTAAATGCAAGAAGAAGTACTGTGCTGTGGTATCCCAGGGGAAAGGACAGTCCATGGATGGGGAGAGAATGGGAGAGTCCATGAAAATGTCACAGATGAGGGGCTGAGATCTGTATCCCCTTTGCTGAAAGAGGAGGAGTTGGTGGAAGACGTTCCCTGATGAGAGGGCAACCTTAGCAATGAGAGAGCAAACCAAGGACTACGAGAGGCGACCCACACGTTACCTACCAACCACACGTGGAACAAATTCTCTAAGGTGCAAAAGAAGAAGAAGAAATCACCAAGGAAAATATGGATAGGTTTAGATTACATACAAATTTTAAACTCCTAGATATCATTATAAACAGAATGAAAATACACGTAAAATACTGGGGGAAAATGTGAAGCATGTAATAAATAGTTTCACATCCTTATTAATAATGTTGTACAATTCAATAGGAAAACATGAATACCCTAACAGATAAACTGGGAAAAGGAAGTGGGCAATTCCCTAAAAATCAGAGTAAAATAAAGCTAATAACACGTGCAAAAAAATATTCACCCTCGCAATCACAGAAATACAAATAAAACAGCAGGGGGATACTTTTAGTTAAAAATAGTGATAATATTCAGGGTTGGCCAGGATGTAGTAAGAGGAACATGCATGTATGAACACAGCTGGTGAGAGTGTAAATTGGATTAATTTCTAGAAAGCAATTTGGCAATATGTGTCAAGGGCCTTTAAAATGTTTATACCCTTTGATTCAGTAATTCCACTTCTGGGAATCTATCCTATGAAAATAATCTGAAAAGCGGGTGAAAGTTTATGCTCAAAGATACTCTTCAAAGTGTTATTATAAACAATCTAACAATCCAGTCATTGACTGATGTTGAAATAAATTATGGTACGTATCACGTAGTATTATAGCCATTAAAAAGTATTCTTATGAGGACTTTTTAAGCCCTTGGAAAAGCTTGTGATATAATTTTAATTAATTTAAGCAACATACATATATGACACAACTATACACACCTTTAAAGCACAGGCCAAAAAACACGAAAGAGAAATCTACCGAGATGTAAAAAATGACGGCTTCTGGATAGTGGGATTCTGGGCATTGTTCTGTTGATTTTTACCCTGGTTTTGAACTTTAGACAATAGGCATATATTTTTCAAGTGAAGGAAAGTAAAAGAAACTGTAAAAGTAAAAGCTCTTTGGGGAACGACAAGTAAGTGGTATATGAAACGTGCACGTGTTCGTGAAAACACACGATGAGAAACAAGGCCTAATCATAAGGTGTGAAGAAAACAGGACACAGCTTACATTTGTTTCCAAGTTGAGGAAGGCTTGACAGGCGTTTTATGTGGCTCATGTTTTCTTCGGTCGGGCTGGGAATGAGGGCCGTAAGGTCCTAACTGTATTTCGTGATCATGTACAAGGCATAGGAAAAAATACTTTGGAAACTAGAAATCACCAAGCAAAAGTGAAGGAGAATTTTTCTTATTATCCTAAATACGTCGACGTCTTCCTCACATTACTCCAAACCCTTGCTGCTATCACCAGGTCTACTTCGTACTTTGACCTTCTTGTCACCCTCCTATCAGAACCCTGTGATTATATTGGGCCCGCCTGGATAAGCAGGATAATCTCCCACCTCATGATCCTTGTCTTGATCTCACCAGTAGTCTCTTTCACCACATAAAGTAACATATTCACAGGTTTGGGGGATTAGGATATGGGTATTGGGGCAGGGTGGGGGGACACAGCATTATTCAGCCAGCCACAGAAGCATAACCTAATGTGAAGGGTTTTTGTGAACCCTCCCAGGGGCCAGGCACTGGCTAGGGCTGGGAACACACAGAGACTCAAGCAGCTTAGCGGAGAAGATGGGAGCATACACGTGTGTTCTAGTGCCAGGTTGCAACGAACCAATGCCAGATGCATCTAGAGCACAGCGTTCATGGGGAGAGACAGAGAGAGGTGAGACAGGAAAGGAAATTTGGGCCCACATCACAAAGGACCTTTAAGAACAGGTTAAAGGGTTTGGATGTGATTCCCTGAAAGAAGAAGGACCTGTGTTTCCCATGCCCAGGAACTACTGAGAACGCCCAGCCAGGCTGGAGGCTGGTCTGACAATGCCAGGTAGCCATCCGCCATCAGCTGACACATTGAGCCTTATCTGGACTAGCCTGTGAAAGAGGGCCCAGGGCCACCTCCAACACCCCCTTCCATGAGATGGAGAGGCCAGCTTTGCAGTCTGACAAGCTGGGTCTAAATCCCACTTATCAGCTGTGTGACCTTAGGCAAGTCACTTAACCACTCTGACTCCATTTCCCCACTTAGGAAATGGACACTATTAAGACTTGCCTGGCTTCTTTACAGAACCAGATGGGCTGAGGTATACAGAGAGATTCTAGAAGTAAAGAGGCTGGACTTGATGTTAGTTCAGTGCTGTTGGGAACCAGAAAATCATGGAATTTTAAAGATCATCTAACCTGGAGAGTCCCACATCACAATCAGCTGTAAGGTTTTATTAAAATAAAATTTAGTAAAGAAGAGTCTAATTTCACAGCCAGGGTTAAAGAAGCCCGCCCCTCATGTGAGGCCCAGAGAAGCTGTGGGGCTTGGCCAGGTGAGGGTCCTTGTTCATCCTCTCAACCACCCAGCTGAGCATTGAGGTAGGTAGTATGGGGGTGGGAGGACTGTTGAGACACTAGCTACCATCGGGATAGAGCTAGGAAATAGGACAGAGAGCAAGGCAGCCAGACCTGGGGGGTGGGGATAGGAGGTCAACCCATGTGGGCCCTGCCCTCTCATCTCCACAGGGGCTAGAGGCTCCCCCATCCCATACCAACCGAGGCTGGGTATCAGGAGGCACAGTCAGAAACACCAGCCAGGCCCTTGCTAGGCGGTCCCCAGGCAAGGGACCCATTCAGTAGGCAGGCTAGGCCAGGCCAGCTGAAGCTTGGCTCTCTGAGGTCACAGGTTAATAAATTATCATAACTCATCATTCTTGATACAAAAGCAAATATCTGCTAATATGTTTGCTATAAACTGCCCCCTCTCCCTTCCTCCACTGGATAATATGACTTATCTAAGAATTTCAGAATCGGACAAGACCTTGGAAATATCATCAAAACCCCTCCTTTTGTAGATGGGGAGACACGGGGCCAGAAAGAGAAGGAACAGGGTCAGCATCACACAGCCATTCATGGAGGAGCCGATCCAGGGCCCAGAGCCCTGCTCTTACGACGGCGTTCTTTTCATTTCAAAACAGGAAGTGCTGTGTGTTTTAGTCACTCCAGTGGTGGAATCTGGGGTCAAGAGCGTGGGGACGATATACTGGACCAGATATGCCTGTTGGTACCCCAAATTTGACCTTGAGGGGAAAGCTGTCTGTGTGCAGATGAGACTCCACCTGTAGCTGTCCACCTGGCACACTAAAGCCGTGGGTTGGAGGACCCCAAAGTGTTGGGGAACATGGCTCAAACCTCGGCCCACTCTACTACTCACATCACAGCCAGGGGGCCGGGGGGTTAGGGCTTTGACTTCCTCTTAGCCTCCTGGTGTTGACCCTGGTTTCGGCCAGATGAAAATGGGGTAGTCTCAGACCTTGAGATGTGAACGGCGTGGGAGGGATGCTCTCCCCGCAGCCTTCCCACGGGGCCACCCAAGCTGACCAGTGTCATGTGTCTCTGTGTGCTCTCCAGGAACATCCCCGGGCTCCAAGATGGCCTTGCAGAGTTCCTTCACTTGCTGGAACGGAACAGTCCTCCAGCTCGGGCAGGCCTGCGACTTCCACCGGGACTGTGCCCAGGGAGAAGATGAGGGCCAGCTGTGCAGTGAGTAGATGGGGCTGCTTCGCCCGCCCTGCCCCACCCATGCCCACATGCCCTCCTTCCCCCACCATCAGAGGCTTGAATGACCTCCCTTATGACCAGGGCCACTTGTGTCCTTCTGGTGGCAACTTTCAAAAGCTACACAGTCTTCAAAAGACAGGGCTAGGACCCATGGTCTAGAAACCGCATATAATTAAGAACCAAGCAAGATCTTATAAGTTTTGCTCTCAACAGCCTCATGTATAGAGAAAAAGTGCAGACTAAAGCCCAACTCTAACGTGACATGAGAAGCCCTCTACGCCAGGACCTCCGTCACATTTTAAGCCTTTCTTTCATCACCCACCTGCCTCCCTCCTCCCCGCAACCTTCCATGTACCCCAGCTCCAGCCATATCAAACCACCTCTCAGCTCCCTCACACCTCCCTGGCTTTGTTTGTGTCCTATCCTTTCCCCAGAATGCCCTTTCCCATCTTAAGTCATATCTGCTCCTTCAAGACTCACCTCAAGAGTCAGTCCTTCTGGGAAGCCTCTTCTGACCATTTCCCACAAGTATAGTTGCTTCTTCTCCCTCTGGAACCCGCCCCCTGGAATCCATGCACCATAACATTCATTACTTTTTAACAGCTTTTTAAAGATATAATTTACATGCCATACAGTTCACTCGTTTAAAGTGTACGATTTAGTGTAGTCACAACTGAGCAACCATCACCACAATCTAATTTTCGAACATTTTTATCACTCCCAAAAGAAACCCCTCGCAATCTCTCCTCATGTACCTCCAATCCCTCCCCCCCACCGACCCCCTCACCCACTGCCTAGCCCTAAGTAACCACTAATCTACTTACTGTTTCTACAGATGGGCATTTCATATAAATGGAATCATATAATATGAGGTCTTTCATGATTAACTTCTTTCACTTAGCGCAATGTTTTTGAGGCCCATGCGTGCTGTAGAATATATCAGTACTTCATTCCTTTTTATCGCCAAAAAACATTTCATTGTATGGCTGTACCACATTTTGTTTATCCATTCATCAACGGATGGGCATTTGGGTTGTTTCCACTTTTTGGCTATTATGAAAAATGCTGCTGTGAACATTCATGTATGAGTTTTTGTGTAGACAGATGTTTTCATTTCTCTTGGAAATGAAATTTCCTACCTAGGAGTAGAATTGCTGGGTCGGATGGTGACTCTATATTTAACATTTGGAGGAACTTCCAAGCTGCTTTCCAGAATGGCTATACCATCTGACAGTCCCACCAGTATTGTGTAAGGATTCCCATTTCTCCATATCCTCAGCAAAACTTACTCTTTATCTGCCTTTTTTTTTTTTTTTGCGGTACGCGGGCCTCTCACTGCTGTTGCCTCTCCCGTTGCGGAGCACAGGCTCCGGACGTGCAGGCTCAGTGGCCATGGCTCACGGGCCCAGCCGTGAGAGAGCTTTTCCCGGGGATCTTGTGGGATCTTGTGGGATCTTGTGGGATCATGTGGGATCTTCCCGGACCGGGGCGCGAACCCGCGTCCCCTGCATCAGCAAGCGGACTCCCAACCGCTGCGCCACCAGGGAAGCCCTATCTGCCTTTTTATGTTAGCTATCCTAGTGGGTGTGCATCCGTCACATTTCATGGAGGTGGCTTCCATGTCTCTCTCCCTCACTGTGGACAGGGTGGGCCTGCTACTCTTCCCCATACCAAGATCTCAAACGATTTCTGGCACAGCATAGGTGCGCATTGACTCTTTGTTGATCAAAATGAATAAATGGGTTGGGAAACCTGGGTTCCCTAGAGGAAGCCGGTTGCTGAGGTCGCACTGGTAGTCAAGGGCAGAGTTAGACTCCCAGCACAGTGCTCCCTCCACTTGAAGACAGTGTTCTCGGCTGCTCCCTGGCAAGTAGTAAACACTCTAGAAGTTTTTTCCAGGGAAACCACGGACACTTCTAGCACAAATATATAATGAGCTAAAAAGTAAACTAGATCCTGGAGCAGGGACAAGTAACACGGCATCTGTCCTTGTAGTGCTGTAAATCCAACACAGGGGCAGGGAGTGAAACAAGGGTGTTGTGGTTGGGAAAGGATGCAGCAGCCTGGGGTGCTGTGGAGCTCGGACACCCAACAAATACCCCTCCCCTCAGATACACCGGCCCCAAGATGCTGTGACCTGCCAAATAGCTTTTAAGAAGGTAACAGTGTCCCCCCGGTCATTTGGAGGACAGATCTTCCCTCAGGGAAAGAAAGGTTTTATTTATTCCCTTTTAAATGAAACTATAAAGAAATCCATTTTTCAATTTGAAAATCGTGCTTTTTATACAAAACTTTCCAATGAAGTTTTCCAATAATCATGGAATAGTGGTTGGTCAGATAAAGCTCAGTAAAGAGTTGCAGGTAAAGCCCTTTGCTTGTTCTGCACTGTTCTGCTCCTGGCTTCCTCTCAGAGCTCTCACTACACACATGGACCAAGAGGAAGCTAGGCCTGCCCATGTTGCCCTGGACAGGGACCTGTCTGTGTGTCTCTCTAGTTATTTGTCTCTGTATTATTTCCAGCAGTGCCTCTGAGCTGTGTGACTTTGCTTTGGCCTTTTTAAAGTTTTTGATACCCACTTCCCAGCTGAGACACAGGTCAGGGAGTCCATGTCCTGATTTACAACTGGGGAAATGAAAGCACAGGGAAGGTAATTGATTTGTTCAGGGTCACACAGCATGTCAGGAACAGAGCCATGATTAGAGCTTGGAGCCTGCAGGATCCAGCCCATTATTGTGGACTTAGGGCACTTTCCCACCATTTCGGGGCTTGCCATTAATGTGTTTTCGAGCCAACTCCAAGCTTGAGGGCAGCCTGGTCCCAGTAAGGAAGGCAGGCGCCTGGAGCCCAGAAGGCTTTTCAGCCACACTTGAAAAGCTGTTCTGACCAGCTGTCAGAATGACCACTCCGCCCTGAAGAACACCCCCATGGAGCTCTTTGCTACAGAAGTCGGTTGCTAGAAGGGAAGGGGAGTTCAGTTAGAAGGAGGATTATTCCAATCTTTTGGCCACTCTGAGCTTGGCAGTACTCAGCAAGTATCCTTTTCCTTTTTGGGCGCCCCACTCTCTCTGGCATTTTTGCTGTTTTCCCTACCACACTGGCTGATGCTGATTCTGGAAACCATCCCCATGAAAATAACAACAACAATAATAATAGTAACAGCTAACATTATTGAGTATTTTCTATATGCCAGGAGCTGCTCCAAACACTCTTCATGGGTTAACTTATTTCACCCTCACAGCAATCCTATGTGATGCTATTATGCCCATCTTACAGATGAGGAACCAGATTAGTCCATGATCAGACTGTTAGCCAGTGGCTGAGCAGTGATTCAGACCCAGTCTGATTCCAATGCCCATGCTCTTAATCACTGCAAGCCAGTTTCACTTGTTTCGTGAGTTTCCAGCAGTTTCTAGCACAGCCTTCACTACATATCTACCCAGGATGAAGGGACGAGGAAAAGGCAGGGAAGGTCCAGGGCTCTTCTGGGGGATACTCAGATCATTCGTCTCCACCCTCTAGGCCTCACTTTCCTCGTTTCTAATATGAATTGGAACATGATGCCCGCTGACGTGCTGACGCCCATGATGCATTAAGGGCAGTGCTCTTGACCTCACTTGGTCCTTCCCAGGTGGTCTGGAACCTGTTAGAACATTTTCTCTGAGCAGTGGTCACTTTAAGCCTGTTGGGGATGTCCAGGTCTTCTAAGGAACCCCCATGAGGGTCAGTAATCTTGAGCGAGAGTTTTCAACCAAAAACTGCCACGGCTAGAATTTGGAGGGGAAACGTAGGTTGTACCCTGTCAACTCCCAGCCTCAGCCCCCACATTTTCTCTAGAAGGAATTACACGCACCACTAGAGCTCATTCAGCTTATCAGACGCAACCTTGTGGGACATTTCTGGCTGGGATAAGTAGGGGACCTGAAATGGAGGTGGTACCGCCCTTGCCCTTCTCCATCCGATCCGTTCACACCCCGTCCTCCAAGCCCACACACCATACACCGCACACCTTCTCTTTCTAATTAAACATTGCCGATCCATGTTTACATTCCAGGATGCTGTAACCCACTGAAGGGTGTCTTCAAGGTTCCCTGTGTGTCCTGAGCCATGGCCTCGACGGCATGCAGTGCCCCAGAAAAGGGTCAGGTGGCCCCACTTCATCCCTTGGATGGGTCATTGACTCTCTCAGTATTGCAGGCAGCTCAGTCCCCCTCCACGTACTCAATATTCTCATCGGTTTGGTGGGCATACGCTTCCTATCAGGCAAAAACAGGGTTTTTTTTAAGTTTATTTCTTTATTGTAAAGTAAAACATGTTGGTTGTAAAACATTTGGAAAATCAAAAAAGTACACAGGAGAAAATAATTATTGCCCATAAGCCTCCCTCTCAGACATTCAGAGATAACCATAATATTTTGATGTATTTCTTCTAGCACTTTTCCCATGACTCTATATTTTCAAGGAAATGTATAACACATATTTATCAAGAATGTTAACAGCAGGGCTTCCCTGGTGGCGCAGTGGTTGAGAGTCCACCTGCCGATGCAGGGGACACGGGTTCATGACCCGGTCCGGGAAGATTCCACATGCCGCGGAGCGGCTGGGCCTATGAGCCATGGCCGCTGAGCCTGCGCGTCCGGAGCCTGTGCTCCGCAACGGGAGAGGCAACAGCAGTGAGAGGCCCGCGTACCGAAAAAAAAAAAAAAATGGTTAACAACGTTGTCACACAGGAAGGAATAGAAGTAGTGTCATTTGGCCTGGAGTTTATAGTTGGCAGCTCCTGGCAGCTGGTGCTAAGGTCACATCTCTATGACTCTATCAATTTGTGTCTCTTAGAGTGGAATCAGGTGTCATAAGTGCCAAATGTTCTGGGATTGATTGACCCACACACAGCCGATTTGGCCATCCAGCCAACAGAATAACTGGCTGCAGCCCAAGAAGGGGGTGGGTTAGAGCAGCGCTTCTCAGACATTAAGATGCAAAGGAGTCACCTGGAGAGCATTAAAAATGCAGATTCTGATTCACTAGGTCGGGAAGTAGGAAGGAGAGACCTGAGATTCTGCACGTCTAACAGTCTCACAGGTGATGCAAATGTGACTGGTCCCTGGACCACATTTTGAGTGGCAAAGGGTTAGGAGACTGAACCCACTCCCATGTCATTCAGCAAATAAGTATTTAGGTCCTACAATGTGCCAAGCACTGAGCAGGTGATCAAAGGGGGTGACACCTTAGACGCGACACTGGGCGCTAACACTGCTCAGCAGTGGACTTCACAGCAATTTCCCCAACCCGGCCTGATCTGCCAAGGGCTCGGTGCTGGTACCCACCCCACCATCGTCCTCAGGACTGGTCCTGCTGAGCACATGCCCTGATGTGCTTACAGTGTTGGAAATCCTCTCGGCACTCCTGCCCGCCCTTCAAGGTTTTAATTGGCACGTAAATTGCCCGTTGACCTAACTATTTTTGCCTACCTCGTCTCCTTTTATTCAGTCAGCCAAAAAGAAAGGGGCTTCCACTCCCAGCTCACCCTGGACCCTTTGTCAAGCTGGGACAAGGACGGGCCTCCAGAAGGTGGAGAGTGCCAGTGACTTTCCTCATTCCTGTCCCAGCGGGAGGCATAGGCATTTCCAGAGGGCAGCTGAGGGACCTGGCTCTGCCTCTAGGGCAGTGTTGGCAGTTTCAGCCTCTCCCCTGCTGCTAAGTTTCCCTGTCCCCGGTATGAGTGATCATTAATAATGCCACCGCCGCTCTATGTTTGCTCAACTCTGTTTGCAGAATGTTTCCACTCTCTCTCCCTTACTTTGTCCTCAAAACAGCCCTTCAAAATATACAGTAATCTTACCCCACTGTATAGATGAGGGAGCTGAGGCTCTGAGGAAGGAAGTGACTTACCTGAGGTCACAGAGCGGAAAGCAGTGAGGCCAGGGCCAGAGCCCAGGTATCCGGTTCTGATGAGGTACCAACACCCATAAGTCAGGCTAAGTTCTCTGCCTCTACCTCCTAAAAGGGTAAGGAGGGAATGATACACTGTGCAGGACCCAGCTCAGCCCTGCCTCTTCCTTCTACCAGGGGCCCATTGCCTGCTAGAATCTTCCATCACGGTGTTCAGTTTAAAGCATATGTGTGAAGGACGCTTTGTGGAAGGTCACTTCCAGCTACCAGTTAGTTTTTGCTAAAGAAGTGAATGTGAGATTCCTTGAGCGGGGCATAAAAAATAAAATAGAAACATCTCCTTAGTTTTTGGATTTTTAATCAGGGGAACATGCGGCGCTGGCGGGGGGGATGATTTCTTCAGGGGGGTATAAATGAGAAGAGATGCTCAAAGTCAGTGACAGCCTGTTTTAATTTATAATTCTGCCTCTGTGTGAAATGCACAGAGAATCAGGGAGAAATAAGTAATAATTCACTAAGGTGCTGTCACAGCCGGGAAGCGGTAGGGCCGTCTTTGTCAGCCTGCTGTTGCCAAGAAGGCTGAGACAGAGGAAGGACACTGAGAGCGGTGGGTCCGGCTCGAGAGCTGCTGTGTGGAGACAGGCCTGGCCGGGGCTGTTGGGTACTATCAGGGTAGCCGCCTGGAATGGCCCACTAGCTCCTTGGGGCTGAGAGCCTTCCCTGCAGCCATTCTCCAAGTAAACTGGAGCAAGGGAGCTCTCTCTACCCCTCTCCTCCTGTCCTCCTCCTTCTGTGGGCAGTGGGGAAATATATGGGGTATAGAACTGACTGTGACCTCTTTAATGGGACCTGAGGTCGGGCTGATGTAGAGAAAAGCGTTAACAGGGCCCTTTATGCTGAGCCAACAGATGATATAAAGAGGCCCCAGGGACTGGGATTGCTTGGTCAGGATAGGCTAGGTTATGCGGCAGTAATAAACCATCCCCAGATTTCCGTGGCTTAACATAACATTTACGGTGCCTGTCCACTAAGCGTTGGGGTGGGAGGGGCCTCTACTCCCTGGGAACTCTCCTGCTGGCAGAAATGCCACCATCATGCAGCAGCCCCAGGAACGAGAACTCTCCTTGGCTGCTTTAGCAGAAGAGAGAGTCTGAAAATGACACCAGGGCTTTTCACAGCCTCAATCCACAGGAGATGCACAACACTTCCACTCACATGTCATTGGCCAGAACTAGGCATGTGGCTTCACTTAACTGCAAGGGGGTTGGGAAATAAAGGGGAGCAAATAGATAGTTTTGAGCAATATGTGTCTCTGCACGCAGGGGTGATTTGAGGGACCCAAACCAACCAACCCCCAGCCAACACTACCACTGCCACCACCACACTCTTATCATTGTGCCATTAGAAATGCCTTTCAGTGAGTTATACACTGGCTTTTCTAGGATCATGTTCATGGTGGATCTGTATAAAGAGCACAGAATTTAAAAGCAGAAGAGCTGGGTTCAAATCCCAGCTGGGTTACCTGTCGGCTGTGTGACCTTGGTCAGGTTGCTTAACATCTCTGAGCCTCTGCTTTTTCATATATAAAACTGGGTTAGCAATACCCCGTATTATTGTTCTCTGAAGATCAGAAAAGTATAAACCAGCACACGTACAAGTTAGGGATTGGGCTTCTCTTCACCGTGAGCATGATTAGACATTGAGGGTCTGGCTGGGGAGCTGTCATTAACGAGGATGGTCATGCCTGGCTAACTTTACTTGCTGTTGGCATATTTTGCCTTTAGCAGTCCTGGAAATGACTGTACCCCTGTGCTCTCCCTGAAGGTAAACTCCCTGCTGGTTTTTACTGCAACTTCGAGGATGGATTCTGTGGCTGGACCCAAAGCTCACTGTCACCCCACACGCCCCAGTGGCAAGTCAGGACCTTAAAGGATGCCCGGTTCCAGGACCACCAAGGTACCACCTGCTCTTCCCTTCCCCTGGTGCCCACCTGGCCACACAATAGACTTGGGGCACCACCCCAGAGGCACTGGACCTCCCCCAAGGACCTGCCCTGGGGTACACCTACACAATTCCCTCTTCACACTCTCTTGAGCATTAGAATGATTGAATCAAGCCAAGGCTAATGTCACCTTTTGATCCTTAAAATGAGAACTTTGATCAAGGATTAGCTGAAAGATAAGAATAAAAGCAACAATAACAATAATCCATTCATTTGACAAGTGTTTGTTGAAACCTATTACGCATCAGGAACAGAAATCCTTGAGAGATAAGGAAAACTGTAGCCCTCTTTATGACTGGGGAGGCTAAGGCGCAGGTAGGCCATTGCGTCATTTGCCCCAGAACTGTGCCCTGGGAACCTTGCCCCATATCTAGACCATTGCCTGCGGCCCGCATTCTTCAGTCATACCCCCCCAACCCCGCATCCAGCTGCAGCTGGCAACTCCCACCCTCCCCTCATTAGAGTCCCTGCTTGACTGCCAGAGGGGCAGAGGGCCTCCACACACCCAAGAGATGCCACCCATGCTGGGCTGGGCTGACTCCACGCCCGGAGGAACTGGCCTCGGGATCAGAGGAGGTCTGTGAGGCCAGCATATCTCCAAGAGCTGGGCAACTGGAGAGGCCAGACCACCCAGCCATGGGCCTATCCTAGGTCTGTACACAGCTGCTAGGACTGAGCAGGCCCTGGGGCCCACTTCTCTGCAGGATGGCGGGCAGGGGGGTCTCTCTCCCTTCCCCTCCCCTGTATTTACCTGCTCTTGGTGGAGCTAGAGTCCCTTGTACCAAAATTTCTCTCTTTCCAAGCAACGATCACACATCCTACAGATTCCTTTAAGGATTCATAATAATGATAAATGTGAGAGAAGACAATGTCCAGATCAACCACTGAGGATCTCAGAGCCCATGCAGTCCTGTCCTCGGTCCCCAGAGCTGGCTGCATCTAGTGAGTTGGCTTTGGGCCCTGTTAAAACGGAGGCTGAGTCATGGCACCACGGGGGAGCGCTGCAGGGCCCTCCCCAGACGTGGAGGCCAAGAGCGCCTGCTTCTCCTCCCGGCCTCCTCACCGCTCTGTTGAATACCTCTAGTGACAGGGCTCTCACTGCCTCCAAAAGTAGCCCTTTCCATTGTTTAACAGGTCAGAATCAAACACCGCTTTTCTTCGTCGAGCCCCACCCCTCTGTAAATTCTACTCGTTGGCCCTGATTTCTGTCTCCTGGAACCCCACAGAACTGGACTATGCCCTCTCCCGCAGAGGCAGCCCTTCAGATATTTGAAGACAACCATCATGACCTACCGACCACGAAAGGCCTTTTCTCTCCAGGGTCACATAACCCCAGACACTTGATGTCTCCTCAAGGATGGGCAGGGTGCTTTCTAAGATTTCTGGCCTGGCCTAGTTACTCAGCTCTGGACCCACCTGAATTTGTTACTCGGTAGTAACTCTATAAAGACTTTGCTAAGAGAGAAAAATAGAAATGAAGGACTGAATTCCTACTTGGGGTTCTCTGAGGCCCCTAAAAAGTCGTGGCTCACTCTGGCCCCAACTCCATAGCACCTACCAGCTACAAAATACTCCTGGAGGTTTGCAGATGCTTCTTCCCACCACCACGTGGGGCTGGGGCTCATGTTCTGCCAGGTTTTCAGGCAGGTCAGTGCTTAGAAAACAATAAGTGAGTCTTCCTGGTCAGGGCATGGGGCACAGAATGACCTGGGCTCCGGAGAGGGGAGAAGACAGTGAAGGTTTAGAGACCATTGGAGGGCAAAGCGCTGGCATGACTGGATACGGGGGGCAGGGGTGGGCCTGGGGGAGTCCAGGACTAGGCGCTAAAGCTGGTGACCTTGGGAGATCAAGGACGCAGTAACCCAGATGTATGGTGCTGGGACATTGCAGGCCATTTGGAATGAAGACCTTTGCATGAGCCAAGTTTTATAGACAGTGGTCAGCAGGCTGTCTTCTCCATTAGAGGCCGCAGGAAACCTGTATCCTTAGAGATGTCCTGAGGCTAGAGAAGCATGGTGCAGGGCCCATTAACCCTGCACCCCAAGGCCCTTCAGTGTGCGAGGATGGTGCGTCTTTGACTCTTTTCCTCTCTGCCCAGGCCACGCCCTGTTGCTCAGCACCACCGATACCCCCACCTCTGAAAGTGCTACGGTGACCAGCGCTACGTTTCCTGCACCGATGAAGAACTCTCCATGCGAGGCAAGTCTCACTGTTCCTCTAGTTCTCTGCCTTCTCCTCCCACCTCTGGGCACTTCCAGATGAACCCACACAGATGAGCAAAGTAGCCTGACGGTCGGGCTGCTTGTTCTCTTGCAGGAGGACAAGAGGGCCATTTGAGCCAACTTCTAGGCAGACAGTACCCACCAACGTGGTAAAGTCCCATCTGCAGAGAATCTTACCTTAAACACCATACTCAGCTTCACTGAACTATTTGCAATAGGACCTTGATTTTAACAAAACCAAAAAGTATTTCCAAGGCACAGCAGGGGAGGGTAACAGCGACTTGCTACAGAATCCTTTTTAAAAATGTCAATCTCTTATAATACATTTTAAGTATTATAGAACATCAAAACTTTGACTTACATAAATTTCTCTAAGGCATCAATGGCATTCAGTGAGGTACCTCCAGAGCCACTTAACCAAATGGTTCGTGTAGCTGTTACCTCTTTAATGTGAAGACTGAAGGTGCCATGATTCTTAACACAAGGTCGCATTCTCTAGGGACCAGGAGATGTGCTAGACCCCAACAGGGCCCAGTGATTAAGCTCGTGGACTCTGGAATCAACTACCTAAGTCCAAGTCAGGTTCCATCACTGACTGGCTGTACAATTTGTTTGATCAGCTAATAACCTCTCAGGACCACAGTTTCCCCACCTGGAAAGTAGAGACAATAAGAGTGCCTACCCCAAGGAGGGGAGGCTTAAATGGGTTAATATATGTAAAGGGCTTATCACAAGGTCTGGCACAACGTAGGTACTACAATAGTTAACCAACAGTCTCTGGTACCCTGTATAATTATGCAAAGGAGAAAGGGGGAGAGGAAGAGGACTTAGCCAAAAACCTGCCTCCATGCTCTTGGAGAGCCAGGCCGTGCCTGTGCTTCTTTGCACTCCCACCAAGCACTGCGTCAACGCCTTGCACACAGTAGAAAGCCAGCACAGAGTTTAGATTCGTCTGTCCTCTCTTTCTGGAAACTCATAGGTGAAACACCTTTCTGGCTTCATTTCAGGAAAAGCTCTGTGCCCCGGAGCAATTTGTTCCCTTTGAAATAGTGGGCATTGTGAAACTGACTAGATTCGCTTCCCCTCTGAGGGGCTGCCGGCAATCCCAGGCAGGTGGGGCTTTGACCAGCAGAGATGCAGGAAAGAGCCTCCCCCTGCTCAGGGGTACAGGCAAATTCAAGCCCTCCAGGCTTTTTGTGAAATAAAAACCCACAAACATAAAAAAAAAAGAATGGAAGAGATGTATCAATGATTTTTTTTTTAATCAGAAGAATGGTCAGATTAAATCTGATGCTTTACCCAGTAGGCAAATAGGGGTTCATGACGTGTAGTTTGTAGCAGCCTTACTCCTGGTTCAATTTTATAACTCTACGTTTGCCCCATCTTCCTTACCCTCTCCTAGTTTATGTTATCTGACTAGGTTTTGTGTATCTCTGTGAGCCACCTTAAATCCTTTCTTGAAGAAGTCAGGGCGCAAATAAATAGAGTCATTATGTTAAATTGTATTTGAGAAACCACGCTTTCCGGTGCAGATGATGGAATTACTCAGTCATCATTGATATCTTTCGGGTGCCACAGAGCAGCACCTAGAAAGGGAGCTTCTTAAGAAGAAATCTAAATGAGGAGAGTTGGTTGGCCCATCTGAGAGGTGAGGGGGATCCTTAAAAGGATTTCATCTTTAAATTTATTCTTCACTGGATTTAATATGAGGCTGATTTCAGAAAAAGAAATGTCAAGGTAAAACTGGTATTTTTCTAATACTTCATCATTTCTCTAATAACCTTTGGGTTGATCAATAGCTTAAACAGGTGTTTTGTTTTACTGGCCTGTTCTGTTATTCCTCCAGTCACATTTGCTCTGGGCGGTTTCCGCTATTTCCTGCCCTTTTCCAGAACTTGGCTCAGCACAAGGAGTGAAGGGAAAGCAATGAGTCCAGTCCGCGATCAGCTCAGTTATTTCGCATTCAGGTTTCAGACTATTCATCTCAGGCTGATGGGTCTTTGAATTCCCAACGTTGGGGGAAATGTTTTCATCAGAAAAATAAATGACCAAGATAGAAATATGCATTTCCAGGTTCGTAAGCCCTGCCATCTATTTCTCTCGAATCCTAAATGCCGAAGGCAGGAAGTTGATTTCCATCTCTCCGGCTGGCTGAATGTCAGCGACGGGGAAACGGATGTTGCATTGCTGTGTGAGACTGTGTGAGGTTAACCCCCCAGCCCTAAAGAGGCCTCCGATGGCTGTGGGGCCCTAGTGCAGGAAGGCGGACACCGGATAGAGCCAGGGGTGAAGGTCTCTGATGAGGGGCGGGCCCACGGGAGCAGGCGGCTGGCTGAGCTGAGCTCCAGGCTGACACCCACCACTGAGCATCTTCTCTAAACCCTAACAGTCCTGGTCCATGGCCTCCAGGGAGCTGAAGTAATTGCAGAATAGCTGAAAATACTCCAAGAGACCCCACAGTCGTCAGTGGGTTCCGTAGGGGAATTGGTGTCGCCTTCGATGCCTTTCCTTGGAAATCTAGCTGTAAGCGAACTAGCAGGCCTAGGTTTCTCCAGCTGCGGTCACTTGGAAAACATGACAAATGCAGATTCTTGGGACCCACCCCAGACTTCCTGCATGATGTAACTGACAGGGGCCCGGGGATCTGCATTTTCAAACCCCACACTTGGTGATTTGGATGAGACTTAAGAGTGACTGGCCATAGGTGTCCTCGCCAGTCGTGACCGAAATTCATTCTGAGCCCCTGCTGAGAGTTGTCCTCCATTACCTGGGACTCCAAAGAATGTGCTGTGATTTGCCTTTTAGAAAGATGAGTCACAGAAGGGGGCAGAAATGACAGGGCGGGGGACAGACGTGGTGGAGACAGAAGGGGCTGGGAGAGCACCTCTCAGAGCCCGCGTGGAGCCGGGTCAGGTGCCCACCGACGACGGAGACAGAGCCAGGGTGTGTCTTTGTGCCACCCAGCTTGCAGAGCACTCAGAAGCCTTCCAGCTCCGGCCTCCTCCCTCCAGACCCCTGCAGCACCGCAGCCCGCTGCCTCTCTCCACCGTCTGCTCTCGGTGCACACGCTGCATCCACCCCGGCCTGCACGCTTGCATGAGGGGCTTGAATATTTAAAGACTTCCGCCCAGCCCTGCCCCGCCCACCTACCACCAGCTATTCCCTGCGGGAAAGTGAGGCACCACTTATGATATATTCCGATTTTATTTTATTTTGCTGAGCTCCAGTTCACATAATTAAAGTTGCCTCTGGGGAGGGGAGCCTCACGGTGGCTTTCCTGCGCTCGCTTGCTGTCAGAACTGCTGGCCTCCGCTGTGGCTGGGAGACACACTGGGATGTGTTTAGCATTGCAGCTGCTGGTAATAAGAAGGACGGGAGAGTGGCAGAGGCCGTCTCCACCCCTCCCCTGCCTTTCACACATCCTAGAAGCCCGAATGTCTCAACAAGCCCAGTGTGGCTTGAAGTTCTATTTTATTTGAATAGCCTGCCTGTGACTAGAATAGTTTATGTCATGTTCTCAGGACAGAACAAGGCTGGGGGGGCGGGCGGGGAAATGGGCTTCCCTCAATCTCCTCCCCCCTCCAAAACATGGAAGTAGTTTTTCATCTATGAGCTGCAGGAATGAAAGGGACACAGGAAGCGGCACGTGAGCCACTTAATTTGTAATGACAGCCTAGGGCAGGCCAATTCCTGGCTACTGGTCTTCTGATCTTGCCAAAGCTGCAGCCGCCTCTGAGCTCTCCCTGCACACGCGTGCGAACACGCAGGCACACACACACTAGGGCTGGCGCACGGCCGGTCCTTTCTACTCCTGGCATCAGCCCTGTGGTGATAAAAGCTTTCATTAGCGGCTAGGAGCTGCTGAGATGGGAGCAGAAGGCGACCAGAGGGCCTCCTCCATGTCGGCATAAGCTATCTGGCCTGCAGGGAAGGAGACCTCAGCTCCGTGTCATTAAAACCAGCAAATGTGGCCAGAGGAACGTGGGAGAGGAGGCTGGCATCTGGAATTGCCTTCTGCCACCTGTTAAGTTCTGCTCAAAGGCCCGCTGAGGAGGAGCCCGCTACACAGGCAGGGCCCTCAAGGCTGGAGGCGAGGGAGTTGTTCAGCGAATTGCACTCTGGTTGATTTTGTAAGGCTTTCCAGGCTGCTGGTGGCCATTCCTGGACACAGGGCCCATCCTTTCCCAGGGATTTGGCTGGTGGGGCATTCTCCAGCATCTCGGTGTAACCCACAGTGAGTGTCATGGCTGTGCTGATGGGGCTTGGTCAAGCTGGCCTCACTCCCTCCCCATGGGCAGACAAACAGGACTTCCAGATAGGAAGAAGACAGGAACTTCGTGACTCCTGTGTTTTAACAGTTTATTAAATTCAATAGCAAAATCCCCCTTGGAAAGGCAAAAAAAGGAGAATAAGAGTAACAATAATTCCTCTAGGATGGCTTGAGGTAGAAAAAAATGCAAAACCTGAATGGCTCTTCCTTTGTCAGCCCCACCAAACCCTCAACAAGCAGGAGCTAAAGATGCTAAGAATATTCTATGCAGCTCACTTTCTGGAGTAGATCCTAGATGTCAGGGGCTGCCCCGCCCGTGATCTGGGTCAGGGTTCATGCAGGGCTGCCCAGGGGATGGAGCGTTCCATCTGTTCAGGACAGGAAAGAAATGTACCCAGAGCTGCACAGCCAGTACATACAAAATCAGGATCAAACTCAGGCCTTATGACTTCAAGCCTCGTGCTCTTTCTGTCACATTGCCCTGTCCCCGGCAATGGTGGTACCTTCTCAGTTTCTGGGGAGTTGATGTGGGCCTCAGAAGCATCCCTGAGGACTGGCATGGCTCTCACCTAACCCAGAGCCCTCACCCTACCTCACCATAGATTCCTCATCTCCAGAGGCAGGAAGGGAATTCATACCATTTTGTAGCAGACTAGTTACCCACTTTGCCTCTCCTCAAGCTGGGACTAGTTGCTGGGTCTAATTCCTGAGCAACCGAGGCGACACTGCCACTCACCTTGTACGTGCCTTGTTCTCAGCCCCACGTGCTCTCACTTATTTTAGCAAATCAGGAAGGAGAAGCTACCCCAAGGGGCTTCACGAGCTTGATCCCGAGTAAGGCTGTCATTTCCTGGATTCATTCAACATTCTGCCTAGAACATGGGCCCACCTGGGGAGAAGCAAACTTCAGCCTTCCCTTCTCCCTACTTACCGTCCTCCCCTGTGTCTCAGCTGAGTGCTGACTGGGGGAAGAGCAAGCAGTTTCTTCCAGAGTCCACCTAGGACAGCCTCTGCCTTGTGTGGCCAAGCAATGCTGCACAAACACTTTGTGGTGGCTGCAGAAACCCTCTTTGTAAACAGTTAGGGCTCAATGCCAAGCTAGGGGGGACTCTGGGGCAACACCATGCCTAGCTCCCCTCCCACGAGCCTGAGCACCTTTGCACGGTGTTTGAGGTCTGGATATCCAACTCCCATCTCATCTAATGCTGTGACATCCACTGCAGTGACAGAACGCTCACCGACTCACAGGCAAGTCCCGCTCGTCTTCGGACAGCTGCAGGCTTCAGTGTTTGCTTAAATCAAGAGCGAATCCAGCCAGACTTGCCAGGGCTTGCTTCTGCACCCTCTACTCTCCGCACCCCTCCTCTTCGGCTTCGAGGAGCCTTGAAGAAGCAGGGATAGAACTCCATGCTTCCTGTGCGACATCCAGCTGGGCTGTCCATCTCTGTCCAGGACGTCATGGTGGGCCCAGCAGGAAGCACAGGGCCCCTCTGGCTCCCGTGTGGTGATGCTGACATCTCACGCAAGTCAGAGCAGCGCGGTGGCCCCAGGCAGCTGCCTCCCCCCCGCCCCATGGCCCGAGAGTTGTGACATCTCCCATGTCCAGAGGAACCCAGCTGGTCATTCGGGGTCAGGACAAAAGGAGCATCACCAAGGCAGTGTGACGTGATAGGAGAAGCAGCGCCTTGAGGGCATTCAGACCTTGGTGGAATCCTGCCACTTTCTAGCAGGGTGACCTTGTGCAAACACCTCACTCTTCTCGGCTTCAGTGTCCTCTGCAGGACTGTTGGGAGGAACAAGTGGCCAAGATAGAAGAGTGCCCGGCCCGGATCTGGACACATGGTAGATGCTTAATAAGTGTGGTTTCTGCTCCTCCACTGCTGCTATTACTATTATTACTTTTTTTTTTTTTTTTGGTGGTACGCGGGCCTCTCACTTTTGTGGCCTCTCCCGTTGCGGAGCACAGGCTCCGGACGCGCAGGCCCAGCGGCCATGGCTCACGGGCCCAGCCGCTCCGCGGCATGTGGGATCCTCCCGGACCGGTGCACGAACCTGTGTCCCCTGCATCGGCAGGCGGACTCTCAACCACTGCGCCACCAGTGAAGCCCTACTATTATTACTTTTGTGATGAGTCCAAGGTCAAAGGCCAGAGCCTGCCCTATCCTGAATCTGGAGAACTTGGTCAGGGGTGGCACCCTCAGGACGAGATACATGGCAGCTGCCAGGATGGGACCAGAAAGGCAGCGTGGAACTTGGCTGGGTTGGATGGGCGCACAGATGCCTGGTGGGAGGACTGAGGAAGGGAGGGGCACAGAGGGTCCTCAGTCAGGCGGGGAGCCAGCGAGTATTCATTTCAAACACACCATGTGACCAGCCGTGCAGGAGACAGACCGCAGGAATCTGGGAACTTTTTAGTGTTTATTCAGCAGAAAAGTTAAGAACACTTACTTTCAGTATGACAGGTCCTGGCCTCCAAGTTACTTATGAACCACGTGGCTATGTTACATTAAAAAGCAAGCCAAAATTCTTAAATAGAGCCCTCAAACACCCTAAATCTTTGTACTCCTAGGAGAAAGAAATCGTCCCTTAGTCTGGGGCTAAGGGAGGGACCCTTAATAACTGTAAAGTAACTAAAGGAGTATGGTA